GGCAAGACCTCATCTCTCCAATAAATAAAAAATTAGCCTGGCGTGGTAGCGCGCGCCTGTAGTTCCAGCTACTTGGAAGGCTGAGGCAGAAGGATCACCGCAGCCCAGCAGGTCGAGGCTGTGGTGGCCGGGAGTGGCCACTGCACTCCAGTCTGGGCGACAGAGTGAGACTCCAACTCAAAAAAAAAAAAAAAAAAGTGGTACACTGTTCCTGAAAGTAAAAATGAACAACAAAAAGAGAGTTCCACATCACACAGAACCTTTGATACTTTCACTCCTGAGCAGGCCTGGCTCCTTGTGCAAGGAACTGTGGGTTATGTGAAGAAGGGTGGAACAGTAAACACAGGTTTGCACTGGGAAAATAAATCAATATCTGCTACTGATAAATCTTCCTGGTTAAAACGAATTTAAGTGGGAAGAAAGCCACGTGTAGGTTGTAACTTGAAAAACAAAAAGGTGAAAAGGCAGAGTCTCAGTACTTCCAAAAAAGCGTGCACTTTGCACATTTCCAGAGATTCAACGCCTGTAAAGAAATGTTCCCTGGGTATGGTATACACCGTTGCACTACTGCTCAGTGTAGGCAAGCTGAACCGATCTAGTAACAGTTACTAGAGTACCTCATTCAGAATACTTAGTTATCAAGCAGGACTGGGAGGAGTTTAAAAATTCCAACATTATTAGTAGTCCGGTGGCGCGCACCTGCAGTCCCTGCTACTAAGAAGGCTGAGGGGACAGGATCGCTGGAGCCCAGTTCGAGACCGCTGCCTCTTAAAAAAAATTACAACATTAGGAAATTTATATATTCAGGAGTTGTGTTTGTTTCAATGACTAAGAGACCCTGCTGTTCATCAAAGCTCTCAGCCGGAAAAGATAGTATAAAGACTTTGCCTAGATTCCAGGAAAGAAGGGACAGGCAGTTAATCTAAATTTTCTACAAATTCCAACTCGCTTTCCTTTCATTTGCCAATTTTCCCAATCCCCGGGGTCGGGGGTACTCTGCCAGCAAAATGTTCAGGGCTCAGGTAGTTTATAAGGCGAGGGCAAGGTGAGGGGAGCAGCCCTGCTTCGGTAGTTCAGTTGCCCTTCCATTACTCAGTTCGCTCCTCCGCCCCTCACGTCACCACACACCAGCATCTCTGCATCATTGCATTCTGCATCATTGCATCATCTCAGCATCTCTCACCTTCAGGTTCCCGTGCCTGTCTGTCCTCTCGCCCTTCAGCAGGCCCCGCACACCTCCTGTCTCCAGTCTCCTCGCCTCCGACCCACGTACGCGCCACCTAGACCGGTCGGCTCCTCACCCTTTCTACCACCATCTGGGTCTGCATCGCCACCCCCTATGCCCATAACCTCCGCGGCCCAGTCCCAGCTGCTCACCTGGTACTCGCCCCGTAACCGCGGCCGGTCCCCCGGCAGCCCGGCGCCCTCGGTGCTGGCGGGGTCCCCGGACCCCTCATAACCCAGGACGTGAGGGCAGCCGCGGAAGGCGAAGTCTTCGAGCTCGCGCAGGAGGCGCTGCTGCTCCGCCGGCGCCCCGCGCACCACCTGGCGCAGGCGGAACTGCACCTGCGCGAAGTGCGAGGACAGCGCGAGCAGCGCG